CATAGTTTTTGTCAACTTCGATATTAGGTTCTTCATATAATAGTTATTAGGAAGTAGATCTAATATTTATGATAAATGTTCCATCAGTAAACTCGTAACTATGTATATACTTTTATATGAAGATCAGACTTTAATCTAATGTGTGTTAAAAATACCACTAACAGTAAGTTGTAACAGGGAATGATGGAGTATACATGAATCTCGTGGGTACTTCTTCCTTCTTCAGCCTAGCGTTTGAATTTTCATACCCCATGTGTGCATGTCTCTTTCATATGCGTCAGACTCGGAATGATCAGGCATTTCTCCTGCCTAAATCTGTCTCTTTAGTTTGAAAACGGAAGAAATGGTGGCTCTTTCCATTGTTCGATGATTCCGTGCACCCCCAGGCAACAGAATACACCATCGTACCATTTACAAAAACGACAGAAACAACACGAATTTTTATTGCTGTAGCGCTTGTTCTTTGGTAATATGGCGGATGCTTGTCACATATGACGTCACGAGCGGAAAGGTCACGTGTGTTCCAGCGGAATATGCGTACTGGTCGAAGCTCAGATAACCGAAACTGTTTTCGCGATAAAAACATAATAAAAATTGGGTACATGTTTCTGGTAACTTTATCTTTCACCCAGCAAATTGTCTAGTACATGTATTCTCCTTTAAATGGGTTTATTTGTTACTATCAACAATATATATATCTTCAGGGACTAAGCGTTAGTCTAAAAGTGATTAAGCATATCAGTTATAATGCAGCATACAACCATGCTTGGATTCAGGGTAAACATAGGCTTTGTCTTTTGTTAGTATTAGGGGGAACACATAGCGATAGGCTGGGAGGCTTGTTATAGGCTTGTGATGCCCTGATGGGGGTTATCTACTGGTAGGCAAAATAATTACACAAGGGGGCGTACTCAGTGTTACCATATCTTACATGGGTAATCATTACCAAAAGGAGAAATGATACACGGGTAAATCATTACTGAAAAATGAAATAATCATTCACAGTGGGAATCATTTCTAGAGGGAAAACAATTACTCACAAAGGGGTAATTATTTCACACAGCGGGTAATGATTAGTGAAGGAGAAATACTTATGTACAGGTGAATCACTACTGACAGGGGAAATAATCACTTACAGTGGGTAATCATCATTGAAGGTAGAAATGTTAGTGAAAGCGGAGTAGAAATAATGGCTTACAGGGTAATCATTACTGAAAAGGGAAATAATTACTGAACAGAAATAATATCCCACAGGGATAATTATTACTAGAGGGGAAAAAAATACCCACAAGGGTAATCATTACTTAATTACATAAATATCCACAGAGGATAACCAATATTCAAAGGGGAAATGAAACTCAAACGCAAGAGTTAGTGTGATTGACTTGAAGTTAGTTATGTGAATTAACAACTGACATTTTTATGATGAGACATTTTTAATATAGTAAGAAAATCATATTGCAAATGGCTTGTTTCAATCTGTTAATGTTGAAGAGGTCACAGCGAACTTCACACAGTCAATAACATATATGTCCACCATGAGCCGTGCATCAAGGCTCACGGTGGACAATGTTTTGCCTATCTTTTCTTGACACCTGCACCTCACAGAGCCAATCAAAAATCGCAAGAAGTCTTATGAAATTCCACATTTGTGGAAGCACCTGGCGGAGGGCCTGAAGCGTGACCTCTCCATTTCGTCCCAGACGTGTTCGATAGGGGACAGACCTGTGGACTTAGCGGGCCAAACGGTATCACGACTGGATTAACAATTTCGTCTCTGTACCTGAGACCCGTTACATTTCCATTGATGACAAGCAAAGGTGTACGTCCAGGACTCGTTATCCCACCCAAACCCTGACTCCACCGCCGCCCAAACGGTTGGCCTCAAGGACACAGTTCGACGTCATCGGTAAACTCGGGTTAGGCCATCAGCGCGGTGCAAGAGGAGTCTGGACTCGTCAGTGAAGTGAACATGTCTCCACCACTGTTGTTGTCTGCACCACTGCAGCCTTAGACGTTGGTGACGTATTGTCGAAATTGGTCGTCTGGCAGGACGTCTAGCACGTATCCTGTGTGCAGCCAGACCCCGGCGAATGGTCCTTGGTGATATACATATGTCGACCGTGAGAGGTGGGACTAAGGCATATCCTTCACTGGTCTGCATTCCTTCTGTCCACACTCGAGTATTCCTTGCCACAGCCCAAGTATTGTAAATTTTAACACACCATCGTGTGTTATTAGCGGTGTTTGTTGCGATGCGAGTCCTTTGGAAATGCTGCAAGTCATTTTCAGTCAGCAGGTCACCAAAACGAGCGGCTTCTTGTTCCTTCGTTCCTTTGTCGTCGGGATCAATTGCATGCAGCGACGAGTCAATTTGAGTTAAAACATCGGCCGTCCACTCTTCAAGCTCCATGATTATTTATAAATTCAGGTCTCTCACTTGCAATTGCTGTCGTGCTGACCGGGCAAACTATCGGGTTCAAATGAGCAATTTCGTGAATTAATGCGCATGTGCTATTAAGTATTACACTAAACATCTTATACATTAACAGTTTACAACATCAGCCCCAACCAGGCATGATTTGTTTATTGGATACTCGCGACCTGGAATGAATTTCACGTGCATTTCATGCTCAAGCACAGATGATGAGGGTGGGAAAGGAGAGAGATGCAAGAAAATGGATTTTTAATTAATCATGATCTTCAAATCCATTCAAATGAATGTAAAGTTATTTATAATAAAAAAGAATATCAAAACTCGACCGAAATTTTAGTATAAGTAAGTTACATTCATGGTTTCCTCGATGCATCGGTCAATATCCCTACCGTTTTAGGCGTGGAGACTCCTCTGCTTCGCCTCGGAGGCCCCACGCCTAAAACGGTAGGGATATTGACCGATACATCTCGGAAACCATGAATGTAACTAACACTTACACATCTCTCTTTTCGACTCATGCAATTGAGCATTAATGATGAGCCACCCACGTTTTACATAAGAACGAAACACTACCTGTTGTTGTGTATGCTTTGGAAACCAATTCCCGCATATCAAAATGGTAACTGTTAATCCACTGCCATTCTTCGTGCATATGTCACTTCCTACATAGTCTGAAGAGCAGGATCCCAAGCCCAAACATGGCATCCAAAATAGCTACAAATATGTTTGTTTGGGGTTCATTGGTTCATTTCGGGTCATCTTGATGGTAAAAACAAAACCCCGCACCATCACTGTTCCACCACTAAAGGGTTCCGTTTCATGGATGATCTAATGTTGATACTTTTAATAAACCTTGTCACTCCTGGTTTTAGGAAGAGTTAAACATTTCTTTTAAATGACTAGATAGCTTTTTCTCCATGGATATAAAAGTACTTCAGCACATGTAGATCCCTCTCCAGCCCAAGGTAATGTTGCATGGACCAGTGTCAGGGCAATATAAGTATGACCTACGACTTCAATGGTAGCTTACTGTTATATACAGTACAACCAGAAATTATTGAGAATTTTAAGATTGTAAATTTTGTATTTTTTTTCACTCATTCAATGTGAATATTAGCAGAACGTTACTCCAGATTCAAAGACAGGTGAACAGCTAGTATTTTGTCAAGTCACCATGGGCAGCAATGCAGGCTTCAATGCGCAGGGGCATACTAATGATCTAAGAAGTTAGAAAGTCGTTGTCCATGCTGTCCCAATATCGGACCACCTCTTCTTTCATGTCAGCAATATTAGTCAGATTTTTCTTATTGACACTTTCCTTCATAAGTCCCCAAACATTTTCTATGGGATTTAGGTCAGGGCTATAGCTTGGCTAATCTAATAATGTCATATTTTGGGTCCAAAACCAGGCCTGTGAATGCTTTGAACGATGTTTTGGGTCGTTGTTCTGCTGGAAAATCCCAATATTTTCATAGAACACGTGAGCAGATGGAAGTAAATGTCCCTCGAGAATATCTGTGTGCTGCTCACTGTTCATATTCCCTTCAAATACACAGAGGGGCGTTGCCCCTAACACAGATATGCCACCCCACACGTTAAATTTCGGACTGTACGTTGGGCGCTGATACAAAGGTTTTTCAGTTTGTTTGGTCCAGAATTTCAGTGCATTAGGAAACAGCCACACAGAACTTTCACCTAAGATAATCACATTGTCCCAGTTAACATTTCTATGCTGTAAGCAACAGTTCAAACTTCGCTCGTTTTGTTGAGGTTTCATGATCGGTGATGGAATTCCTCGACTCTTCTGCCAACCCATTGCATGCAGCTTAGTTCTAATTGTCTCCTTACACACAGCCACAGTTCCTCTATCAATCATATTCAGCCTTAAGTTTTCTAAACTCCTTCGTTTGTTTTTAGAAACAAGAATACCAAGCCGCCTCCTGTCATCGACAGTCAATTTTCTGGGCCTACCTGCGCCTCCCTGGTGCTCAATGCCATATTCATTTGCAATATGTTTCAAAACACGATAAACAGTGGACAAACGGATGCCTGTTCTACTTGAAATCACTTTAGCTGATCTGATGTCCTTGTTATAATACTCTAAAATCAACTTCCTCTTCTCTAAATCATTCATACTGAGGATCACTGAAAATGTTGTCTGCTAGCAAGTAAACAAAGGGGGATAACTCTTTACAAACTAATGAAAAAGGGTTAACGGAGTTGTCTCTCTTGAATGAAACCAAGCACTTGATAGCTGGTCAAGGTTGTTTGTAATATAAATTCAATTAAACATATTCCTAAAATTCTCAATAATTTCTGGTCATACTATGGATATGGTGATGGCTTATTTATCTGGGTAATCTGAATATCTCGATAGTTACTAAGATGATAATCATTGTTTCTCTGTTCGAAAAGTGGAGTCTATTATTGCATCAGCTGTTGAATTATGTAAGGTGTCATGAGAAAATGATGAGATATGGCACACTCCACAATATCCCAGCTACACGACGGACGAGAGATCTAGATGCGAGATTCATTTTAACACAATGAATGTAGCCCTTGGTTACTTGTATTCAAATTTATTCAGGAGAAAATACAAATGAAGCAATTGCATGGAAGCCTCAAGATACTGAAAGACAATTGGATTAAATGTTGTGTGTAAAATTATTAAAATATAACAAAACATTTATGAGCAGCTTAGATGAAGTTCCAGTTAAGTAATCGGCCATATTATATATGATTTCATCAAGCTTTTAACAGTACAGGAATGGTAAAGTTTGTGACACAGTGAAGTGTCAACTAACGTCTCTGAGTCAAATAAAAACAAAGAAGAAAACATCTCCAGAAATGTTGTGTCCAAAATGTAACGTATGCAATGTCTTTCACTCAACATTAAACATCAGCAATTAGCTATACTGAAACCTCTTCATGGTAAAATTACAATGTGGTCAAAATCAACACCACAATGGTAACATTCATGGGGTGACAACAAAGACCTGAATGGTACCATCAGCAGGAAGCCATAACAAAGACCTGAATGGTACCATCAGCAGGAAGCCATAACAAAGACCTGAATGGTACCATCAGCAGGAAGCCATAACAAAGACCTGAATGGTACCATCAGCAGGAAGCCATAACAAAGACCTGAATGGTGCCATCAGCAGGAAGCCATAACAAAGACCTGAATGGTACCATCAGCAGGAAGCCATAACAAAGACCTGAATGGTGCCATCAGCAGGAAGCCATAACAAAGACCTGAATGGTAACATCAGCAGGAAGCCATAACAAAGACCTGAATGGTAACATCAGCAGGAAGCCATAACAAAGACCTGAATGGTGCCATCAGCAGGAAGCCATAACAAAGACCTGAATGGTGCCATCAGCAGGAAGCCATAACAAAGACCTGAATGGTGCCATCAGCATGGAGACAAAACATAGATGTCAAAGGAAATATTAGCAAGGAGTGATAATGAAGACCACAATGGTAACATCAGAATCGAGCAATAGCAAAGACCTGAAAGGTAACATCAGCATGGAGAAATAATGGAGACTAGAATGGTAACATCAGCATGGAGCCATAACATAGATGTCAAAGGTAATATCAGCAAAGAGTGATAATGGAGACTAGAAAGGTAACATAAGCATGGAGAAAAAATGGAGACTAGAATGGTAACATCAGCATGGGCTAATAATGAAAACCACTATAGTAATATGAGAATGGAGGAATAGCAAAGACCTGAATGGCAACTTCAGCATGGACCATTCCTCTGCTGAAGGTAAGCACCCATGCTCTCACTGATGAAGGTAAGCAGCTATCTGAGTTATCCATGCTCTCACTGCTGAAGGTAAGCACCCATGCTCTCACTGCTGAAGGTAAGCAACTATTTGAGTTATCCATGATCTGACTGCTGAAGGTAAGCAACTATTTGAGATATCCATGCTTTCACTGCTGAAGGTCAGCAATTATGTGAGTTATCCATGCTCTCACTGCTGAAGGTAAGCAACTATCTGAGTTATCCATGCTCTCACTGCTGAAGGTAAGCAACTATTTGAGTTATCCATGATCTGACTGCTGAAGGTAAGCAACTATTTGAGATATCCATGCTTTCACTGCTGAAGGTCAGCAATTATGTGAGTTATCCATGCTCTCACTGCTGAAGGTAAGCAACTATTTGAGTTATCCATGCTCTGACTGCTGAAGGTAAGCAGCTATTTGAGATATCCATGCTCTCACTGCTGAAGGTAAGAAACTATCTGAATTATCCATGATCTCACTGCTGAAAGTAACTAACTATCTGAGTTATCCATGCTCTCACTGCTGAAGGTAAGCAACTATTTGAGTTATCCATGATCTCACTGCTGAAGGTAAGCAACTATCCGAGATATCCATGCTTTCACTGCTGAAGGTAAGCAATTATGTGAGTTATCCATGATCTCACTGCTGAAGGTAAGCAGCTATTTGAGTTATCCATGCTCTCACTGCTGATGGTAAGCAGCTATTTGAGTTATCCATGATCTCACTGCTGAAGGTAAGCAACTATCTGAGTTATCCATGCTCTCACTGCTGAAGGTAAGCAACTATTTGAGTTATCCATGCTCTCACTGCTGAAGGTAAGCAACTATTTGAGATATCCATGCATTCACTGCTGAAGGTAAGCAACTATCTGAGTTATCCATGCTCTCACTGCTGAAGGTAAGCAACTATCTGAGTTATCCATGCTCTCACTGCTGAAGGTAAGCAACTATTTGAGTTATCCATGCTCTCACTGCTGAAGGTAAGCAACTATTTGAGTTATCCATGCTCTCACTGCTGAAGGTAAGCAACTATTTGAGATATCCATGCATTCACTGCTGAAGGTAAGCAACTATCTGAGTTATCCATGCTCTCACTGCTGAAGGTAAGCAACTATCTGAGTTATCCATGCTCTCACTGCTGAAGGTAAGCAACTATTTGAGTTATCCATGATCTCACTGCTGAAGGTAAGCAACTATCTGAGTTATCCATGATCTCACTGATGAAGGTAAGCAACTATCTGAGTTATCTATGCTTTCACTGATGAAGGTAAGCAACTATTTGAGTTATCCATGCTCTCACTGCTGAAGGTAAGCAACTATTTGAGTTATCCATGATCTCACTGCTGAAGGTAAGCAACTATCTGAGTTATCCATGATCTAAACTGTCATTTACGTGGGTAAGTTTCACTTGAGGGTTATATAACCATTGGATCCCTCACAAACGGTAACTGCTCATCTGTATTACCATATTAGCACAAGATGAAAAATCAGCATTGTGAAAGGAAAAAGAACATTAAGGTGTAATGGTCTGCACTTGTTTGCACCCACTGGCAACTATCTAACTGGAACTTTGAGAGATGTAATGTAGAACACAGAAAGGTAACTTTCTGAATAAAATTGATATTTTATACTTATCCTAACTCATGCTTAATTGCTTGTCTCCTTCTTCTGGCGAACTATAGTGGAACACTTGAATCCCCCTTTTGAAGCTCCCTTAAAAAAAGCAGACGTAACATCACTCACCCAAATAGTCTCCCTTTACCTGCTCTTTTGGCGCGGAAGTTGGTCACATGATCAACCATGCTTGTCACTCTCTCTGTATATTCGAGCCCGACACTTGGATTTGCAGGGAAATCCAGAGTGCCATGAGGGGAGGTTGGGAGGGCTAACCTCATGAGTCAGGATAAGTATAAAATATCAATTTTATTCATAAAATTACATATTTTTCCTTATCCTGACTCATGCTTAATTGCTTGTAGAATCCGATGGAACCGGTGGTGGGTCAAGCCTCTCTGGATTCTCTGCTGATTTACGTCCTTTTACCCCCCAGGGAACTTCTAATGGCATTTGTCCTTTCTTCCAGCTTCCTCTGATGAGTGGGGGGACCACAACTTGTCAGATTTATCCTGGAATATCTTCTCCTGACATTCTGTGTGTATTTATGCAACTCCATCTCTTGATGCTTGCGTCAAGTGGAGAAGTGACCCTACTTCATGTACAAGTAAGTCCTTACAAGTACAGGGTGTATCACTCATGCTAGCCTGTCCTAGACATGCGCATGGACTTTAAAACCCTTACTCTGTTGAGTGTTGGCTTTTACAAGTCACGTGACAAAAGGGTTGTTGTTGTTGTTGTGCTACAACAAGGGGCCCAAACTGGTGGATGCCGGAGATGTCCTCTGTAGCCACGTCTCAGAGGTAGTGGTTGGCAAACACCGTCTCCGATCTCCAAAAGCAGCCCTCCATTATTGTCGAGATGGAGCAGTTTCCATGCAGAGCTAGTGTTGATGCCAGTGCTCTGACTTCATGAGGATTGGAGGCTCATGGAGGATCAAGTCCTGCTGCTTTATAGGCTTTCAATATGACGGCTCTCATCCATATTGATATAGTCGTATGTGAGACTTCTGTAGGTGTCTCCGTAGATAGAGGGATGAAAAGGCGATTGAATCTTCGTCTCTTCAATTTCGACCTTTGTAGGTATATTTTCAATGCTCTGACTGGACATAAAGATAGGTCTTGAGTATCCTGTGGTCCCAATATCAACGGAAGTGCTGGGATATGGAATTGTCTGTCTGGTTGACTGGGCAGTTGATTCTTTGCTATAAGATCCCATCTTAATCCCAGATGTACTGTGTCACGATGCATTTCTGACATCCTTTCCGCTGTTGCTAGGGCTAAGAGGAACAGGGTTTTATGAGTTATTTCTCATATTCTAGTGGTTCATAATCTTCGCTGGTAAGATGCTGTAAAACCACATTCAGATCCCAAGCAGGCGCCTTGAATTTCTTTTGTTGGTCTTCCAACTTGAAGGAGCATAGTAGTGCCAGTATCTCTTGTACTTTGGTCACTTTAATACCCGTTTTCATCGTGATAACTGAGCTGAGGGCCGCTAGGTATGTAGAGAGTGTAGATCCCTTTAATCGTTTTGTCTGTCTGAGATGACAAAGGTATTCCGCCACTTGAGGATGTGTTGCTTCCATTGCAATGAAGCCTTTATTCCGTGCATATTTCTCAAAACTTTGCCACTTGTCATCATACAAGTTACGGGTTGATCTACGTAAGGCTAAAGTTACTGCTTTGGCCGCTCTGGTGCAATATCCTCTTTTCTTCAAGCAAGTCGTGATACGCTCCATGCGTGTAGCTGAAACATTGTTGGGTTTCTGTGTGCTTGCTTGGTGTGTGGATGAATCAGTAGATTTGGCCACTTTGGAAGTTGTAGGATTGGATTTCCTAGATCTTGTATGAGGTTGGGGAACCACTCTCTCACTGGCCAATAAGGCACGACCAAAATCAGTTGTAACTTGTTTGTCACCTTGATTTTCTGTAATACCTTCGGTATTAACGCTGGTGGAGGGAACGCGTAAGCGTTTAGTCCTTCCGAAGATATGCTTAGAGCATCTGTTGCCCATGCTTGAGGATCTGGAACCAGAGAGACGAATGTTGGTAGTTGTTTGTTGAACTTGGTTGCGAACAAATCTACCAGTGGGGATCCTACAGTCTGAATGATGTCCCTGAACGCCTCTGGATGTAACATCCACTAAGTCGGTGATGGATTCATTGGACGGGATAGGGCGTCTGCCATCACATTTCTGGCTCCGGGAATGTGTGATGCTTCCATGTCGATGTTCAGGTTGTTTACTATGCTGAATAGTTGAAAGCTGAGGTCCAACATGCTCCTTGATCTTGTTGACCCTTGTTTGTTGATGTAAAATGCCACTGTGGAGTTGTCCGTATGGATCATCAGTTGAGCGTTCCTTAGTATCCAGATTCGACCACTTCCCCGATGCCACTTTGTTGTTTAAGTGAGCTCCCCATCCTTAAAGGGACGCATCTTCGTAAAGATGGATGTTGGATTCCAGCTCTGCTAAGTAGGCTCCTGCGCAGACATTCGACTGCCGTGTCCACCATAATAGGTATGGTTCCAGGTTGTTCGGTAGGACGAAAGGATCCAGACTGTCTAGATGATTGTTCACAAACACTTGTAGTGGGCGCAAAAATAATCTGCCTCTGCGTGTCATGTCTTGCGCTGATGTGAAGAGACCAAGTAGACTGTGCCACTCTAGTAGTGGTAACGGAGAGAGTAGTGCTTGTGATATCATCTGTTGTATCTTGGTCCAACGTTCCTCCGGAACTAGTAATCGATTCGTTGAAGTGAAGATTCGTATTCCTAGGAATTGTAGATCCTGTGTAGGTTCCAATTCCGATTTGAGATGATTTACTAACCATCCTAGTTGAGTGAGTAGCCTGATTGTAAATCTCAGTTGCCATCTGAGTTGATTGGGATCTTGATGAGCTTGAATCCCATCCTCTACGTAAAAGGCACTGCCTAGACCTTGATGATGTAGGTAACTGATGATGGGCTTTGTCACTCGAGTAAACAACCAGGGGCCCGATGATATTCCAAACGGTAGTACCTTCCACTGGTAGTGACATCCGTTGAATAGGAATCGGAGGTATCTCCTTGATTGGGATGTAAAGATACGCATCCTGTAGATCTATGCTGGCTAGATAATCTGACGGACGGATGATCTGTCTGAGTTGTGGAAGATGTACCATTTTGAATCTTTCGGCCTTCTTAGATAATCCTGGTTGAATTTCTTCATGTTGTAAATCAGTCGGAACTTT